TGTCGCTGTTCGATGCCGGATGCCCCGATACTTTACCGCTAGCTAAAACCGTAACCAGAAATGTCTTGCGTCCAGATAACAAAACAAACCCCACACAAAAGAAATGATAGCATACCTTTGAGCGTCGTCTAATATGATTCTGTTACTCTCTTCCCCGCTTTGCGCCACGCCACGCCCCGCCACTCCACTACACACACGCCCTTGACTTATTTAGGTTGATTTCGATGGCCTATGGACAGATCGGTATGATCCAGGCCGCTGCCGGCTTCTTTGTGTACTTTGTCATCATGGCTGAGAACGGCTTCTTGCCCAAGAAACTGTTTGGCATTCGTAAGATGTGGGACTCGAAGGCCGTCAACGATCTAACTGACTCCTACGGACAGGAATGGGTAAGCAACCGGGACACTATCTATTATTCCAGATTACTAGATTACTTTAATGATTATTTCTGGATATTTCCTCCATGTAGACTTACCGCGACCGCAAGACCTTGGAGTACACCTGCCACACGGCCTTCTTTATCTCGATTGTTGTTGTGCAATGGGCCGATCTGATCATCTGTAAGACGCGCCGTAACTCCATCTTCCAGCAGGGCATGCGCAATTGGGCTTTGAACTTTGGTCTCATTTTCGAAACCGTGCTGGCCGCGTTCCTCTCGTACTGCCCCGGCATGGAGAAGGGTCTGCGCATGTATCCCCTGAAGTGAGTATCCCATGGTTATTCCCCACCCTCCGCTTTTTGAATGTTACTTAAACTCTGTATTTTCCATCCTCAAAGACTCGTCTGGTGGTTCCCGGCCATTCCATTCGCGCTGGCCATCTTCATCTATGACGAGACTCGTCGCTTCTACTTGCGTCGCAACCCCGGAGGCTGGTTGGAGCAGGAGACATACTATTAAACACACAAAAACATACACACCCCTACACGTACGCCCACACCCTACACCAACAACAACAACAACACCAACACACATGCCCTAACACTACCATGAAGAGCAACAAATAGTAATGTTTATCTACCACAAAGCCACACAACCACAACCACAGCAACAGCCAGAGCCACAGCAAGAGCAACAGTAATAGCAACCGCCACAGCAATAGCAACAGCAACTGCAACTGCAGCTGCAACAGCAGCGGCCACAACAACAGCTCCGGATAGCTGCAGCAGCAAGAACATATTACAATCTATTTTATTTTTTTAATTTAATTATTTAAAGTAAACAAGGAGAAACAAAAATGCAAGCGATAATTATTTTAAACGTTTAAGTAACTTTAAATTATAAATTAAAGCTAAAACTAAGATTTAAATAAAGTATAAAATGAAAACAAAACCAATCGAAAACGCAATTGTGCAGAAGCTCCACAAGACACCCCAATAATTAGCAAACCAAACGAGAAATGTTTTTAGTAAATTAATTAACGTAACGAAAGGGATAAACCGAATATTTCAATTAAATAAAAGCTTATTGATACGAAAAACCAAAACCAATAACAACCACAGCCCAATGTGTGCTCCCGTTCTATGCCACATGAAACATGCAACAAACGCAACTCAATTCACACACCAGACACATCCAAAAACACCCACACACACACACTAACACACACACAAACTATAACACAACGCATGACGAGACAAAGTGTATAAGAAGTTTAGAAAAATTATAAAACGAAGTAATACAAATAAAAGAAATGAATGAAAAACAAAGGAAAAGCAAAGAAAAGAAAAGAAAACAATGAAAACCCCCCTTAGCGTAGTTACATAATAAGCCGTGAAGAGGAAAGGGAAAACCCAATGAGAATAAAACAGAAATCGAAATCGAGACGGTAACAGAAAATTAATTTCAAAACTTGTGTGTGTAGTAGAGCCAGCCGCAGCAAAGCGCAGACGAACGGAAGAACAAGAAACGGCCATAACGAAATATATATAAACGGATGGCAAAACGCTGAGAGCAAGACAGGTAGCGAGATAGAAAGAGAGCGCGCGCGAAGAGCATTGTGAAGCGACACAAGGAATATAATTGTTTATATATATACACACATATATTATACGGAAAAAATTTGATTATATAAATGGAGCTATACAATACACCAAAAAAAAAACAACAAAACAACAAAAAAACAAAAACGAAAAGAAAAAATTGAATCGATAACGAAACCAACCAACTCCCAGCGGCGGCTTACCGATCTAAACATACCGAGAGGGTACGTACGAACTCAGATCGAGATCGAATGGCCCATTAATACCCGCATTGGCGGGGGAATTTGTTAAAAACTAAACCAACTAAATGTTTATAAATAAACCCTTAAACCAATTGACATGCAATATTATGCTTTGTGTGCATTTAAGCCCAAAACAAATACAGAGATACGATACAGTGGGGTTAGGTCCCCCGATATCGATACCGATACCTAAATCCAAAAAATGAATAAAATGCGAAAAACCCGAAATAAGTGAAACAACACCCACAAAATAAATGTTTGTAAGTTTTACACGGCACAGCGCCCCAAAATGGGGCAAGCCCAAGGCAGTATTGTGTTTATGTTTTCTTTGATTGTTTTTGTCGCTTCTCACACCCACACCACACCACACACCAGCCTCACATACACCACACACATACACTGATTGAGTGACTGACAAACGGTTGAACGGCCATGAAATTGCAAACCGAAATTCCTGGGGAAACAAAAGCCCCGATGGCTTTTGACTTTATCAAAGAAACGGGTAAACAATGTGGCCGCTGGCTAATTGAAATTCGTGAAAAAACCCCATCGGAAAGATAAATTCAAACACTCGATCGGTCGGTTGGTTGGTCGATCACGTCACGTCACTCAAGAACATACATATGAGTACACTCGAACATTTGATTCGCTGATCTTTTTGTTCAATACTTGTCTTGTTTTCTAACTTAGTGAATATGATCATTAGCATTGAAGATACCGATAAATATGTGGCATGTTAGTTATGAAAGAAAAAATGAAAAACTAAACAAAATTATTATTATTAGTTGTTAACAAATTATATTGAGTAATAAATAATATTGATCGATGGATGCTGATGTGAAAGGGAAACTAAACTAAAAAACGAAGCAGAACGAACAAAACAAAAAGGAAAGAAAAACCGAATAAAATAAATTTATGCATAATATGGACAACAAGAAATATTTCTAAACAAATGCAGAACTTATGTAAACGTTTGATGGTAAAAGCAACAGCAAACAAACAACAAAATAAAACAACTCGAAACAACAAGAATAAATTTGTCAACCAACACGCATAAGTAACAATTTGCATGTAACAACAAATACAATGAGTAACATTTTTAATTTTTTGTTCTTTCGCCCTCCGCTGTAAATGTATTTGTAGATTTAAACAATGATTAAAATAAAAAACTACATAAATAAAACTTAAAAAAAAAAACAACAAAAACCAAACGAAATGTGTTCTTTTTATTCGAATGAAAAAACATATCGGATATTATTAATGAAAGTAGAAGACCCTCCACACAAACTTAACAGCCAAACGAATAAAGCAAATCAAATCTGGATCAGTTTTAATGGGTTTCTAATTGATAATGACAAAAGACTTTAAAATTTGTGTGGCTTTGAGACCAAAGCTAATGCAAAAATCAAATCTTTTAATGGATTTTTTGTAGTGAATCTACAGGTCAATTTTGGCAATAAATCTGCAGGGCAGATTGAGGCAAATGTGAATTCATTAATGATTATAGTGCGTTTCCCATTCCATGATTGGTTATACACCAATTTCTGTCTATTCGTTTCACTGCATCCCTGAAACACACATTTTCTTGCCAAATCATCATCTCTGCTCAAAAAAGAATCGTGACATCTTCGCGGGCAGCACTCCCCTTGGCCAGACGCACACACATTCTGGAAACGCGGCCATAAACATAAATATATTGCTTATACGCCCCCAGAGCTCCCCCAGACGTATACAAATAGAAACGCACACAAAAATACAAAAAATGAACCGAATTACAGGCCCACACAATGGCCGTACATATTGTACGGGTTTGTGTGTATATGTGTTTACGGCTGCGTTTATAGCAATGGCACGCTGCTTTTTTCGCTGCCGCTATTGCGTCTGCTGCTGCTGCTACTGATGTTGTTAGTGTCGTGACGCAGGCCCCAGCGGCGGACTGGGGGCCAATGCGACAGCAAAAACATTTGGGTCTTATTAATTTCCGTTTTGCTTATTTATTTTTACGATGTTTCGCACAGCTCGCATTCGCGGGGCCCCCATCGTTGGTCCCCAACGCAGACGCACACCGATGAACCCATTTGTTGGGGGGCTGTGATGTCGAGCAGGGGTCGCAGCCATGGCAATGCCCTACAATTGGGGAGGCTGGCATGTGGGATTGAAAATATTAGACATTTCGTATGCAGTAATGAATGAATTCCTGCTCTCTGTTCATCCTTGTTAACCTTTCCTGAAAAGTGGTATAACCATATATTATTATAATGTTATAGGATGTGCTTAACACGTTCGAACATCCCCGTTTTCAGCTAATTCTAGCACACCTTCCCCAGGTACAGGGTAGGCCATGTGAATGAGCACAAACCTTTTTCCACCCGACTTAGCACAGGCGTCAGAAACTTACGCGCTTGCTTGTCTAAGACAGCGGGGGACTCCCTCTCAATGCGCCATCGAGACTGCACTGAGAGCAGCCCAAGCCACCGAGAGCGGGTGAGTGTGTGAGTGTGAGAGAGGGACACTCTCAGAGAGAAATTCTTATCGCATGGCCGCCCCAGTGAGTGTTCCATTGCCCAACCGTTCCTTATCCTGTGCAATGTTGGGGCCCTTATCTATAGCTTCCCCCTTCGTGGTTCGGGTTCGGCTCGGCTGGGTTCGGCTGGATTGGATCGGTTCGAATCGTAATGACTCGTGTTTTGTAGGCGTTGGGGCCAGTGGGGCCGAGCCGGACCGGACCGGGACGTGTGTCGGTTGGCGGTTGACGGCGTCAGTCTTTCATTATCCGGCGTACGAGCGGGTCACGTTTTCCCATTGGTTCCCTACCACACACGCAGCGGCGTCAAACAGCACCAGCAAAATTCGAGGAGAGCGGCGGCAGGCAAAGCGGTTTTTGCTGCGCTTCTCCTATTTTAAGTGCCGAGCGTTTTACTATTTTTACTACAGAGCCACACACAGATACAAACACACACCAGTGCATGCGTGGATATTCGGACATTCGGGCATTCGTGTGTCTGTCTGTGTGTGTGTGTGTGTGGGGTGTGTGGATTTTCAGTTAGAAAACAACAACAACAACAACAGAAACGACAATTATATGGCAGTGTTAAATGTTATTAAAATGATCTTCCATAAATAAATATTGAGCAATACCCAAAGAAATAAATTGTTCAGAATTACACACGGCAACAGCAGCAGCAACATCAGCAGCAGCAGCAGCAGCAGCATCGGTGGAGAATCAGAGCCAAAACTAGGCTAAATATCTTTGCATACTTTTGGGCCAGCTTTTCAGCACACACAGGCACACAGACAAAGCGATAGACAGACAGACAGGTCCTGCGCCTGCGGTCGCCGACATTTGAACCTGTTCCAAGCCCCAGCGCTGACCGCTGACCGCTGAGCGCCGGCAGGCCGTGCATCTCCGTATCCGTGTCCGTGGCGTCCTCGTTTGCTGCTGTTTCCTTTAGTTTTGGCAGCAGATGAAAATGTGCAATAAGAGTGAGAAAAAATAAGAATAACGAACGAACAAGCACACACACACACAAACTCACATCGAAAAGGACAAGCGCAAAAAGAGTTCAGTTTCGGTGCAGTGGCTCTGAGTGGTGCAACGGTTCAACAGCCTCCGGGTTCCGTGTTCCGGGTTCCGGGTTGTTCGGGGCAAGCACAACTGTGAATTCGTGAGTGCAGTGCCCGTCGTCGCTTCGTCCCGGCTTCGTGTGCGCATCCTGTTTGTCTTTCAGCGCCCTGTGTGTCCGTGTATGCATCTGTGTATCCTGCAACAATAGCAGCAGCATCTCTGCAGCGGGGAGAATTGTGTCAGCAGCACACAGCAGCAGCAGCTGCAGCAGCAGCATCAGTGGAGCAGCAGCAACTTCTGCAGTTCGCCAGTCTGGCGCCTCAATCTCCAATTGCCGGTAAGGTACTTTTTGGGGGGTGGGATATTTGGTAGTGCGAACCCAGCTTATGCTTGGGTTAAAATATTACGAATAAGAGCCGTTTGCCACCCTCCGTGTTCCACCCACTAGCACCCCCTACTGCCTGAGCTTACCTTGACAACGACTGGAGGGCTGGAGGGGAGTGTCCGTGACAATTGTCAGTTTGTTAGTTTGTTTTTCGCTATCGATTAAGCTCTGAAACGTTGTTGCCGCCTCGTGGCCGCTTGTCTAGGTCTCGCCTTTGTCTTTCCGCCTCCGCGAATTAGCGGCAACTTCTGGGCCGTCCCATGCAGCAGCAGCAGCAACAGCAGCATATGGCTTTGTCGCCAGTCTCTTGTCTTCTGCGTCGCCTAATTGAGTCTTTTGTGCGGCTCAGAAAGAAAGCAGCAAAGACAGTAGCAGCAGCAGCGAAATGAAAAAAAAAATAAAGGAAAACAGTCCACACGGAGGCGGGTAAACAAATGGATGGCAAAGCACTCACGACTCCGAGCGGCTGCTTCAGGATTCCTGTCTGTCCTGTCCTGACTGTCCTGCCACTTGACTCGGCTCGTCGCAGGCTTTCCGGCACGTTTCCTACCATTTTCCTCCATTTGCGAGCTGGCTGGCTGGCTGGCATTTTCCTTTTGTCAATATCAGTCAAATTGTTCGTTTTGTCGCCTCACTTTTTTGACATTTGCTTACCATTTCGTTTTCAGAGTTCCCTTTGAGTACACATCTACATATCTATTCACTCACTCATTTATTCATTCATTCATTCGTGGGAGTCCCATTCGGAGGGTCCCTTCATTGACAAATTGTTAGAAAGAAAGGTCATCCCCAATTGTTTGACATTTCGTTTAAATTGCTGGACAATTGGATGTACAATATGTTTGGGGCTGCTTCGAATCTTATCACACTAAATAACGTCCATTAACTAGCTAATCAATCAAGTACCCTAGCATCAGCATGACTCGAAACACTCGAAAGAAACCCGCCCAAATAAGATGATAAGAACAAAGCAATTAGAAATTTTGCCACAAGTCATGGGTGTACAACGGACCCCCAGAGGTACGGCATCCATCCAGTACACGAATATGCAAATTCAGCATTGATCGGGTTGGCACTGCCACTACCCTCTGCAGAAGGCTAAATCCAACCATAAAACGTGCAGCTATTCGCATACTTGGAAGGCACACTGCCACCCCCCTCTCCGTATAGAAACCGCATTTTATGCAAATTCATTTCATTTGTTGAATCCTTCTCCGTTCGTTTTGAGTGCAATTAAAAGCAACAAGCCGCAGAGCAGCTTCTCCCCCCACCACCCTCCTGCAGCTATTTCTCCGTTGAAAACTCCACGCTTTAAAGGCTTAGAGAGAGACGAGTGGCAGCCACTCAAAGGCTTATGGCTTGCACCTGCATAGGAAGCGGCCGCAAAATAGTAGGCACGCCCCGGCCACGCCCGCTACGGCGCTGCGAAAAATATAACCAACTCTTTTTTTGTGTTGGCACAAAAAGCGTAACTTTTGTAGACACACAAAAAACCAACCGCAAACACATACGAGCATACAACTACGGGCACAGAAAATGGCAAATAACAAGATTTGGCCATGTTTGATTCATGCAACTGGCAGGCAATTCATGAGCTTCGCTTCCCACGAATTTGTGTGTAGCGGAGGGAGAGGAGGGGGGCCAACAAAGGGGGTAGCCAAAACCGGGCTAAAGTTACAGTTGCACTAGCCACAGCAAAAGTGGTGGCAGCCAGCAACGTCTGAGTTTCGCACAATGGGAACACAACTTTGGCCAGAGAGAAAAAGCCAGGAGAAGAAAGGATTCTTTCGAGTGTAAACTTTATGCAGAATTCAGCAGCGACAGCAGAGTTAATCATACGACTGGCAGTGAGAAAGCGCCAGCTAGCTTCAAGCCAGAAAAGAAGGAGGGAAGGGCAGAGAGAGAGAGAGAGAGAGAGAGAGAGGGGAGTTATATTTTCCGCATTGCTCTGCTAAATTGAATGTGTGTGGCTTCAAATTGCGCATACGCCCCCCCTCCGTAAAATGCTTCGTCCCGTCGCTGCAAAATCTGCAGGCAATTTGATTAAAGCCAGCGGCCCATAAAGTATATTATATACGGAGAAATGGTGAAATATTAGGATTACTCTAAGCCAGAGCCAAGTCGAGCATTAAAATGCAGGCAGTCGGGCAGCTTCTTCCTGGGGCCCAGGCGAAGGACTCGATTACGTTTCCGCCCCCCAGCTTGAGTCCGACCATAAAAAAAAGGGAATGGCAATTAAATTGTGATTGCGATGATGAAAGCAGCGCAAAATAAAAATTAAAAGAGATAAAACTTCCATGAAGATGACAGAAAAATCAAAAAAAAAAAGAGGCGAAAAACAGAACAATAAATAACGGGGGAAAACGACACACACACAAAAAAAAAGGACAGCGACATGGCAAAATGGCGACGGCGATGGTGATGACAACAACCGGGGCCGTAAGTTAGCTTTTGTCGAGCTTTGCCGTGCGAAAGAAAAGACGCGCGAAAAGAACAAGATATTGGGATATCTAAATTACCGTTGTCACGCACCTCACACAGGCACACACACACACACGCACGCACAAACAAACACACGTACGCATACACATTGAAAAAGTCGAAATTCAAACTGGCATTGTATCCACACGGAAACCAAAGTGAAAACCTTTCATTTCCACTTCCCAGAGCAGCAGCAGCAGGGATGAGGAAGGGAGCTTCACCTCCCTCCCATTGACTGAGCGAACAAAGCCGAAGGAAATGATAATTTTCCGCTTAACAGACACACACTTCTGTGGGGAGAAATGTAATTGAAGCGCTTTCAATTACCACTCACTGAGCGTAGCAGAGGGAGGTCTTAATCAATCTCACATTACCTTAACGGCCTTTCATCAGTCGCATATCAATTAAATAGACGCGTGCCTGAAATATTCATCAAGCAAACGGCAAACAGCAAACAACACACAGGGCATAATCGGTTAATGTTCGGTGAATAATTCAAAACTGTAAGTGAATCTGAGTAATCTGAGTCGCAGTAGTGTCTATACGAGTGTGCTTCCTTCTCCGGCCTCAGTCCTCAGTACAACTTAATTTCCATTTCAATTTTCGCTTGTACATTTTTCCGCATTTCATTGATGGCTTCCTCCTACACCATCCCACTCGTCCTTGTGCCTTGTGCCCACGTCCCACGCTGTGGATAAACGAGGCTATTGCCAGCCAAACTATATACTACGGCAGTACCACGAGGCGGGCGCCATTTTGGCTCTGTTTGCCGGCTCTAATGGATTTCCAAGGCGAAGAAGCATAACAATTTGTTTTGTGGGGGGCTGAAACTGTTGCTTAGGTCGGAGAAGGAGCTACCCACACACACACACACACAGAATATTGCGTATACGACGATGATGATGACGATGATGTTGTCGATGGGATAATGTGATTTTTTCTTGGCTCCGATTCTGAGCCAGATTGTAACATCGTTAGAAGCCGTTTTCATGCCAAGGCAAGCATATAAATTACATGACGAACCCCTACCATAACATAACAATGCCACAAATGCCGTAAACTGTTGTCTGTATCGGTTGACTGCAACTGCTGAAACTCGGGGCAAGATATTTGCTTTACTGATTGGCCAAGACTAATCAAGTTCTGGGTCAGCATTTTCATTCATGCAACTGATTGATTGATGAACTGACTGATGGCAAACGCTTTTTCATGCCACCAGTGCAAACATTCAGTGCAAACGGTCATCCATCAGACAGCATCGAGGCGGAGATGAGGCTGCCACTGACACACGGCAACTGTGTGGCAAATTGTCGAGTCGCTTCCGGGCTCAACTCTTTGCCACATTAACAGCCAAACACAATTCCCACTTCATTGAAAGTTTCAGTGGAATGGGGGTTGGGGGCAATGGTTGGCGGAGGCGAACAACTTTAACCAACTTTGGCATGACTCTCTAACCTCTATTCCCTTGGAGTTGGCTCCGGATGCGGATGCCGATGCGGATGCGGATGGGGGCACAAAAATCAATAGTACTGTGCGTACTGCATGGCGACAACGTCTCATACATACATATACTCGTACATAAATATTTATGTGGCAAGCAGCTGGTGCTCTAGCTGCTGCTCTAGCGGCTGCCTGCTCGTTCCCTTGTTGCTGCCGCATGCCAATAAATCATGGCGAACAAGTGATAATATCATGGCCGCTGATAACTCGACTATTTGACACTGTTAAAGCGCACAGCTTTATTATTTACTGAAAGTTTACTTGCTAAACTTTATAGCCCAGAGCCAATGTTAATTATAATTTATTATATTCTGTTTGAATTTTTTTTCGTACGTCTCCAGTTTTGAGTGGGAGAGAAATGACTAAGAGCTGTAACTATATGTACTATATAGTACACTCGCTGCGCATTGACACTGGCATTAACTACAGCCCCAGATGACTGCATATTTTTGTTTTTTTTACGAGCCAGCCGTCAGACAATAGAAGCCCTACAAGAAAATACTATTAGTCGAGACGAGACGAGACGTGACGTGACTAATGTGGCAAGCAGTGTCCTCAAGTTATTCGCTTGTCAGCCGCAAGATTCAAGAGGAGAGAATCTCGTCTCTGGTCAAGCTGTTGCATTCCCGACACTCGACCAGCATTGCCAACACTGATGTAGCCGCATTGATGGGGCATGTTGACATTTGAACATCAGTTCAAGCGTTTTGCAAAATCAAATCAACGTCAGACCCAGTCCCAGTCCCTGCCCTGCTGATGGCAAAGCGCGATTCCTGTGCTTTTCCGATTGCAGTCCATGATTGCCATTAGCCATTCGACAGTGATGTGGATCTGCCGTAAAAGGCCCCGGGGCTGATATGGTATCGCACAATTGACAGATGGACAAGTCCGCTCAAAAGAGGCCTCCCCCTCAGGCAAATAAAACCACAAAAGTAGTCTACTTTCGGGCGGATCTCCGTTTGAGCTTTGGT